TGATTTTGTTGTCAGCACATTCAACTATATAATGAACAAAGTATTTAATAAGAATATTTCATTCATTCAGATCTAGGATGTCTTATTTTTGTGTTCCCTTTATTTTTTTGAGCAGTGTATATCCCTAAATACTTAACCTTGTTTGTGACCTGTATTTCTAAAACTTCTTCTAACTCTTTCTTTCCTCTTACTAACATATTCTTTGTTAATATGTTTGTTTTATCTTTGTTTATTTTCAAACCTGCTACTTTCCTATGTTCTTCTATTTTTTCTATTAATTTAGGTGCTGTTTCCTATAGATCTTCTAATATAAATACCAGGTCATCTGCAAAAGCTTGCAATTTATACTCTTCCTTTTTGATTTTCATTCCTTTTATTTTTTTTTGTCTTCTATAATATTCCTATGCAGCACTTCCAATGTTAACACAAACAGCAGGGGCGACAGTGGACAACCTTGCCTTGTCCCTTTTCTTATATCTATAGATTCTATTAGTTCTCCATTTACTATAACCTTTGCAATTTATTCATCGTATATCATTTCAGTGGCTTGAATGAATTTTTTTTACCAAAGTCCATTTGTTCCAATTGCAATAACATAAATTGCCAACTCATATTGTCAAAGGCTTTTTGTGCATCTAAAAACATCAAAGCCATTTGCTTCTCAGGATGTGCCTCATAGTATTGCAGAGTAACCGAAATAATTCTCACATTGTCTTTTATTTGTCTCTTTGGCAGGAATCCATTTTGATCAATATAGATTAAGTTATTTAAATGTCTTTTTAGTCTTTCTGCCAAAATTGAAGCAAAAATTTTATAGTCTGAATTTAATAGGGATATAGGTCTGTAATATTTAACTTGCTGCAGGTCTGTATCTTCCTTTGGTATATGCTTCTGTCCATGTTTTGGGTATTCTTTTCTTTAACATAACTTCGTTTATAACTTCTAATAGGTGAGGATTCAATATTTCCTGGGAAGTCTTGTAAAATTCCGCTGGTAAGCTATCTGGACCTGGTGCTTTTCCAACATTCTGTTTTTTTTTTAAGGCTTCTGTTCCATCATTGTTATATTCCCTTCTAGCATCGTTTCAGTATCTTTAGGTATTTGGGGTAAATTCGCTTTCTGCAAATATTGCTTAACTTTTTCTTCTTGAATATTCTCTTGAAAATACAATTTCCCATAGTAATCTTGTATAAATTTTTTTCTTCTCATTTCCATAGCAAGCATGTCCTTCATTTATTAGTTGGCTAATCCTTCTTGATTCTTTCTTCTTTCTCAGTTTATAGGGTAGCTATCTACCTGGTTTATTTGCATCTTCAAAGTAATTCTGTTTAGCATTTTTAATTTTTTGTGCTAGTTCCTCTTTTTCCATTAGTCCCATCTTATGTTTAATTATATCCATTTTATTTTTATCTTTTTTTGCGGGGACTTCTGTAAGTCTTTTTCCAATTTTTTATAATCATCTTCCAATATTTTGAAAGTCTTTTTCTGTTTTATATTTCTTTTGCTTGTATAGTCTATTATCAAGCCTCTTGTGTAGGCCTTCATCGTGTCCCAGAGGTTCTGTAGAGATGTATCCTCTTTTCTATTTTCTTTAAAAAAGAAAGCAAGTTCTTTCTCTATTTTCTGTTTGAAGTCTTTTTCTTTTAATATTGTATTATTTAAGGTCCATCTGGATCTCCTCTTATATCCTTTCCAAGTAACTGTCACTGGATTATGGTCTGCCCAAGTGCTTGTTTCTATTTCAATCTCTCGTATGTTAGCCAGTAATTCTGCTGACATCCATATCATGTCTATTCTAGACCATGTGAAGCACGTCTGAGTAAAAAGTGTATTGCTTACTCTCCACATTTCTCTCTCCCCATGCATCTTTTAAGTTGAATTCTTCTGTTATTCAAAAGAAAGATTTTGGTAATATCTTTCTAGCTTTCTTTGTTGATTTCTGCATTTTGTAGTCCAACCGATAATTAACTATTCCATTAAGATCTCCCATCATACAAATATTAGCATAGTCCAGTTCAATTATTTCATATGTAATTTCCTGTAAAATTCTTCTTGGTTATCATTTGGAGCATAAATTGTAATGAAAAGTGTTTTAACATTATTGTCCATTATTTCCACCATCAAAATCCTTCCATCGTCATCTGTGTAAATTAATTCTGCCAAAATTGTGTCTTTAACATATAAAACCACACCTCTTTTTTTAGATTGTGCCAGTGATGCAAATAATTTCCCTAATTTTTTTTGTTTCAGTATATATTCATGTTTTTTTAATATATACTTCTTGTAAGCAAATTATATCTAATTTTAATTTCTCTAGTTTATGAAATGCTTTCCTTCTTTTAGTAGCCAAGTTAAGTCCATTTATGTTAATCGTAATCAATTTTCTTTCATCCATGTTAAGCTTTGTGAGGGGTTTTTATTGCTCTAGTAGGTCTTAATTCTCGCTGCTCTCTGGGTATACCACTACTGCACCTTCTTCTTTCTCCTTTTCAATTACTGCTATACACTCTTCTTGGAATTCAGTTAGTGACTCTTCCTTTCTAGCTTCTTCCTCCTTTCCTCTGAAATATTCTATGTAGAATAGCTCAGCTTTTTCAACTGTGTCAATTACGTGTCTTTGTTCCTGCCAGGTGAACAAGAAGCCTTCTGGCATCAGCCATCTGTAATTTACTCCTCTTTTAAGTAACTCTTTGATCAAAAGTAATATTCTCTTCTCATCTCTCTTAGTCTTCTTGGTACCTGTTTCAGCACCACAATTTCTTTATCTTTGTACTTTAAAGTTTTCTCTCTTGCCACTTGGAATTTCTGTGTCTTAATAATCTTTTTAGTGAATCTGATATGAACTTCTCTTGGTAGTCTCTCATTGCGTATCTTGTATAGACATGGAACACTTCATCCATCCCATCCATCATCTTCTCTTTAGTTATCTCTTAATGCTTCTGTCAGTATTTCTGTCATTATTTCAGCAAGATTTTCACCTTTCCCTTCTACATTTTGAAATCTTAAGTGAAATTATGATCTGTCAATTTCCCATCCTAATGGTTCGCATCTGCCCTTCTCAACATCTCTCAATCGAGTATCAATATCTCCATTTTTCTTGTCCCTTTGTGTATCTTCTTCAATTTTTTAAAATCTATCTTCATATTGCATCATCTGTTGAATATTTTCTACTTTCTCATCTGTTTTTTCAATTCTTTGCTCAATATTCTCAATTCTCTTTTCAATCTTCTGAATTCCTTGCATAATCATCTGTAATGTCACTTCCTTCTTTTTCTCCCGTTGCAAGATTGTCTGTATTGACCATTGTCCTCCAGATGGTGAAGAGGCTATTGGTATTGAGGAAGCTGGTGCTGTTGTCTTTCTGCTCATCTTGTAGTGCTTACCTGAAGAGAGGGAGAAAGAAAAAAGAGAAAAGGAAAAAAAAGGAAAAAAAAGGAGTACAGGCAGGCAATTGCCATTCCAAAAAATAAAAAGGGAAAAAGAAAAATCTTCAGGCACTTATGTACCTTAATCCAATTATTTCTCTTAATAAAAGAGAGAAAAGGAAGAGGATAAAGAAAGAAGTAAAAAAAATACGTTCTAGTTTCTGGAATAGAAGTTTAAAATCTAAATATTAAAATCCAATTGTGGGGGGGAGTAAAAAAGGAGATGGAAAATAACCTAAAGTTAAGCCAGTCACTGCCACTGAGTATCCAAGGCTCTTTGATAAATCAACTCAGTGTTTCTGGTTCCAGTATTTTCAAGGTCACTTCAATCTTCTCTCTTTCAACTTCAGCTCAAAGCTCTAATTATTTAGTTTCACAGATGGGCACCTGTATAAACAATCTGCCATGCTCATCCCACTATCTTTTCCAGTGCAAAGCTCAGAGTCTTTGAGTATAGCACAAGTACATAAACAAACTGAGGAAAGAAAAAAACAGTGTGTCCAAGCCTCTAGATGGCAGTGCTACTTTTTTTCCCCTTCACTTTCACTCCCCCCCTCATGTATTCAATACCAGAAACAAAAAAAGAAAATTGAATCCTTCCTTTTTTTTGAAAAAAATAAAAATAAAACTCAAATCCAAAAGAAGAGTTTTAATCAAAGCAGACTTTCAAAAAATTGCTAAAAAAAATAAAAATAAAAACAAAGATGGAAAATTTAAAAGAAACCAGTCCAGTTTAAAATTCAGTAACTTTACCAAATTCAAAGTTCCAGTAAAAAGGGAAAAGGAAAAAAACTTTCACTTCAATGCTTAATTTTGCCGCTTAAACACTTTTCTCTTCACTTTTAATTTCACTTTAAATCTTTCAGGGTGTTCTCTTCAAGCAATAATAGGTAAAAGTTCATCTCACCAAACTGACACACTTTCCTTCAATCTCTTCCATTCCGGAGCTGTCTCAGCTTCAGCAGCTTGAATGGCTGCTTCTCCGATGCCAGCAAAAGGGCTTTTCCTGGATCGACCAGGGACTTTGCAATGTCCCTGGGATCGACAGGATGTGCCCTCCTCAGTCACTGTCTCTACGGGACGGTTTAGGTCCGGTGGGACCATTCTGCAAGATATCAGCGGCAATCTTGGAGCTTCAAGATTGCATGCTGTATTGCTGAGATGCCAGCTCCCCCCCCCCCCCCCAAGTTTCTTTATGACTCATTATAGTGTTAGCCTGAAGCAGCCACAAAAAGTAAGAGTGGTTCTTCCTTTGAGTTCCCATGCATGGTAAAGCATCTCGTTTCAAGACCTTACTAGAGCCACACTAGGCTTTGCTTGACCAGGACTAGTACTTGAAGCATTTGGCTAAATTCTCATAGCATATTTTGTCACATAAATAATCTTGTGTGTGTGTTTGTGTGTGTGTATCTCCCAGCCATATTTAAATGAGTTGTTCTGAAGTTGGTTGATGCAAAATAGAAATTAGATCAGTCAATCAATCAATTCATGGGCTCTAGGAAAGAAAGCAAATGACTCTTGACTGCTTTGTAGTTAATATTTTTATAAGATATTTATTTCTGTTTTTTTTTCCAGGAACTAAAGTCTCTGTATATCTAAGTTAATACATAGGACTACATCCTTACTTCCAACCTTACATTTTACTGAAGTTAACCCTGTGGGTTGTTTTAATGAAGAAGAAAAGATTGTTGAAAAGAAGAGAAAGATTTGCAGTCTCCCATAAGTAGCATACATGGAATTACATAATTTAAACAGAATGTGCTCCAGAATGACCAGGGAGAAAGAAATATTATTTTGAAAAATGCACCACTGTGTACTTGTTCTCTGATTTCAAAGATGTAAATATAAGAAATCATCCATTTGAAAAATAACTCCCAGATCATCAGTTCTAAGAAAACGCTTACTATCCAAGAGGAATAAGCTTTTTCTGTATTTTAATATGCATAATTTTTCTTGACAGAATATATTTCATGGAAATTGAGAGAATTGAGAAATGATGTGAATTTATACTATATGATCACATAAAGACTATTTAAGAATAAGAACTTAGCTTTTTTTAAAAAATATTCATTCTGCTACAGTACAAAATGGTAAACATACACAAATGCTACAGTATTAATATATTTTGGATTGCCAATATAACCCTTAAAATGTGAACCATTGCAAAACATTACAAGGTACCTAAATTTGTAAATACTTAGGGTTTTTAATAGCATCTATCTGAATACAGAATGGCAAACTATTTTTGTATTGTAAAACTTGTTCACTGATAGTGTTTCATTAGTTCACTTTCATTAGTTCACTAGTACAGTTGGATGAAATTGAAAATTAACTTGAGGAGTCCTATTACAATTAAACGGTCTGTTTGAAGTGTGAAATGTATTTGATAAAAGTACATAGAGGTCAAGGTTATAAGATTCTAATCGATCTTAAAATTCCTTGTAGACTAGTGAGGATATCAGGCTTGTGATAAGCATTGACATATCTACATATATTCTACGTATTTTCCCCACTACTGGTACACCAAGTAACTAAAGTACCAAGAGGTAGTCCATCTAGAACCAGCAAATTAATTGCATCAAATAAACTATCAACATAAAATAGATGTTTGGGTGATGCTTAGATAAATATTTGAGTTTCAAATTACTTAAGTTTTTATTAAATAAAATTATGTTCTGGAGAAATATTGTTTCAACATCCAGCTTTCCAATCTGCAATTTTATGATAAAGATTGCTGGAGTGAATTTACATTTACCAAGCACAGCAGTTCCACTGGGTCATTTTTAATTTCTTTCAGCAATGAGATGGCCTAACCATTTGAATAGCTGTTGGACATCTGGCTAATGGACCCAAAAAGTCTGCCAATCGCTTGCTGTTTCCCTACACCTTTTTCTCTCTTTAAATAAGCATGTTGAAAGCAGGATGGATGTTCCTAGCAATATGAATATTAAGCAACAGTGAAGACAACCCTTTTTTCCTGCTGTGTTTAAATTTTGCCCTCATTTTTCCATATGTGAACAAAACATTCACATAGAGAGAAAGCAAAAAGATGAAAATGAATGCACATTGTAATTGTTACAAAGGCCGGATTGGTATATGAAGGTTGCTCTTACAGTTTATTGAAATGCTGAAAACCAACAAAATTCCCACCTAAAAATACACATATCAATATAATATTATCTTAGAACATAATAGAAGTAGTGTTGAACCCTCAGGGAAGTTAAGAATCATTTTGTTAGATGAATGTAAAAATGCATCATTGAATCAAAAGATTTTTATGTTATCGTTTTACAATTATGGTAATTTATCAGTTAGCAGGTGCTTCATAAATAGAAAGATGTGTATCATCCAGTGCTAGAAGGGCTAATGGACTGTATTAAAAGAAGTATTGTGTCAAAATGTTTGAAGTTATTATTCCCCTCAATCTATCACACCTGGAACATAGTGAATGATTATGGGTACTGCATTTCCAGAAAGATTGACAAGTTAGAATAAGTTCAGAGGAGGGCAAGACAATTGATATAGAGACATGACATGCCCTGGGAGGACAGGCTGAAAGAATTTGGGATGATCAGATTGGAGAAAAAACTGAAAGAAGATGTCTCGGGATTCAAGTGTGCCATAGAGCAACTATTTTAATTGCCATGGAAACCAGGTCCAGAAATAATAGCCAACGAACAATAAATAACTACATACAAATGATGGGTATAAATGTGGGAGTCTGGATGGGAAACAGCAGGCTTCAACTGAACCTGTTAAGGCTAAGTGGTTTTGGGTTTTAGGGCCTTCTGGATCTGGACTTTAATACTGGAGCTTCGCCACCCCAATCAGATCTGGTGTACAATTTTGGTGTGCTACTGAACTCATAACTCCTGCTCATAGGGCAGGTGCCAATTGTGGTAGGAGGGACTTTATGCTAGTTGCGTCCTGGATTATGAGGCTCTGCTTGCAGTTACCCATGCTCAGGTCACCTTCCAAATGGACAGTTGGAATGTACTTATATAAGGCTCCTCTTGAACAGCATCCAGAAGCTTAAACTGCTGGAAAAGGGAAGTTATGCATGCTCCTAGAATGCTACACATTCAACCTCTGCTCTGTGTGTAACCTTGGTTTCTGGCTTGCTTCCGGTTCAATTCAAGGTGTTCATTTTGATCTTTAAAGCCCTATATGGCATGAGACCAGGTTATTTGAGGGATTACCTTTCCCTGGATACTTCTACCCATCCCATCAGGTGCAGCAAGAGGAGTGTGTGTATAGCTCCTATCTGCTGAAGAATTCCATCTAATGATGCCTGAAAGGTGAGCGTTTTCACATAATCTGCTCTTTGGAACATCACTGCCTTCCCCCTCCCTTTCTGTGATGAGATTAGACATGACCCTATTAGCATTTAGGAACTCTGAAAACAATTATTACAGGCTTGGGGATCCCGTGAAATTGTAGCACCGTGTGTGGGATGCTGATTCATTCAACTTCACTTGTTTAATTTTTTAATCTCTATAGATGTTTTAACTGTTTTATTGTACACTGCCTAGAATCGTGTTTGTGAGATGCGTGATTATGTAAATCAAATAAACAAACAAGCTCAACTAACTGGATTTTGTTTTTTCTTCCATTCAGTTGTGCTGATTGTTCCTGCAGTTTTGTTGGCAAAGCCTTTTAGAAGTGGTTTACCATTGCCTTGTTAGGGCTGAGGGAAAGTGACTCCAGAATTCCAGTGTTTTACATAAAAAACTGTTCTCCAGAATTCTATCTAATAATCTCTAGTATAATTCTTGCCAAAGAACAGACTTCTGTTCTTAAGCAGAGTGCTTTCAAGGTTTCATCATCTGCACCTCTATAACTGTCTAGTTTGGTTCTGCAACCCAACAGGACAGACACAGACTTCAGAGGATAATTAGGACTGCAGAAAAAACAATTATTACCAACCTTCCTTCAGTCGAGGACCTGTATACTGCACAAGTCAAAAAGAGGATGTGAAAATATTTACAGACCCCTCACATCCCAGACACAAACTGTTTCAGCTTCTTCCCTCAAAACAATGCTATAGAGCACTGCACACCAGAACAACTAGAAACAAGAACAGTTTTTCCCTGAAAACTATTACTCTGCTAAACAATTCCCTCAACACTGTTCAGCTATTTACAAAGTCTGCACTACTATTACTGTTAATCTTCTCATCGCTCCTTATCACCCATCCCCTTCCACTTGTGATTGTAGGACTGTAACTTTGTTGCTTGTATCCTTACGATTTATATTGACAGTTTCCTAGTATGATTTGATTGCTTATTGTACCCTCTGACTATCATTAAGTATTGTACCTTATGATTCTTGACTCCTGATGAATGTATCTTTTCTTTTATGTATACTGAGAGTATTTGCACCAAGACAAATTCCTTGTGTGTCCAATCACACTTGGTCAATAAGGAATTCTATCTATCTTTCACACCATAGACAAAACCCCAACTCCTGGGCCAACTATGCTGACTAAAGGTTCACTATCTATTAGTAGTGCTCTAATTGTAGCATCTAACTTAATATAGGGTAATTGTATCTGCTAAATCTTACAGATTGGTTGCAATAAGAGTCTTAGGCTAGAGTTTCATCATCTTGTAATAGACCATTCAGTATTTGAAATAGTTTATTTTACTGTGTTTGATATGCTCTTTTGCTAGCCCATTAGAATAAGCTGAAATGTGGTCTCTCACCTTTGTTTAATCATAGGATAGTCAATATCAACTTAATCTTCAACTCTTCAGATTACCAAGGAACTAGCAGCTGTTTGTCTTAGTTAATACTGACTTCCAGGATGGGTGATGGTGGATCTAAGTCTGAGCAAGTGAGGATCTGCCGATAATGAAGGCTCTATATAATATTCCCCATGTATAAATAACTTTCCTGCTCAACAGGACAAAAGAACATAAAATAATACTCTATAATATAACAGATAATCAGAGTTGGAAGGGACCTTGTAGGTCATCTAGTCCAACCCCCCTGCCCAAGTGGCAAACCCTACACCATTTCTGACATATGCCAGTCCAATCTCTTCTTGAAAGTATCAAGTGATGACGCTCCCACAACTTTTGAAGGCAAGCTGTTCCATTGGTTGATTGTTCTCACTGTAGGAATATAGGAAGATGCAGAGAGACAGTCCACTTCCATTTAAGTAACCAGGCCAGAAATGAAATCATGAATAATTTCTGACAGGGAAACATCAAAATAGATACTGTACTTAAAACAACCAGCTGGGAGGATTTTGACAGTTCCCAAAATTGCCTGTGCTAGATCGGATAAGTTTATTATGCACCAATGTGTTTTTAAAAAAGTTACAGAAAAATTAAGCAATTTACATGGCAGCCTGTATTATTTAGAATCCAGAAGAGATTGAATAGGATAACTGATTACAGTACTGGAATCTTGTTGGAGATAATACAGATTTGATTTCTGTTTGTTTAATTGTTCCATAATAGTTGCACTTTTGTGAACATTCTTATTTGGCATTTTTAAATCTCTCTGAACTTTTTTGTACTTATTGAAATTGGTTTCTTAATAGTTTTTATTTTATTGTTTCCTTTGTCTCAAAGAGGCTATTAGACGAAATATAAATAGTGAGTAAGACAAATCATATTAAGCTGGAATCTTTCTGACTAGAGATAAGAGTTTACTATTTGACTTTTTGGT